CAGCATGTGTAGAACTCAAATACATACTGAGTGTAAAAAAGGTAAGCAGCAGAATGGAAATGATTTTCAGTTTATTTAAACTTAAAATGTGCACACTGTAAAAAAACACAACATATTTTCCAAGGATACACAATATCTAAACAGGATTGGAAGATCATGGATTAAAAACTGTTGGGTAGGTGTCCGTGAGGACAAGAGAAATAGAAGCAGTGATGAGGAATAAAAAGGAAAAATAATAAAATTGATCGAAACAAAAGAAGTGCCAGACCTGGGCCATGAACAGGATGTGATGAGCTCAGTGCTGTGCCCCGAGGAGGGAAGGGAAGAAGGCAGGACAGGGAGGGAGCGACGGGCCGTCGTCGGATTATTGTATTTGTCATAAAACTCCCACAGCCCTCACTTTGCTCACTGAGCCTTAGGTCAACTCACAGAAGACGACGACAGGAGGCAGAGCGCTTCTGGAACGAAAAGTGGCATCAGTGTGTAAAGCACCATGAGCAATTCCCCGAGTTACTCATTTTGTCAGTGTGTGTTACAGGACTGCCAGGGGCCTGCCCATGTCCCGAGTGGTCTGACTCCAGGCAGTGGTCTCGGTGACAGCCACTGTGTACAAAGTCTGACGGTGCTGAAGCCGTCACACCAAGAGGCCACACGGATAGAAAGAGATGCCCGAGGATCTCCAGCTGCTTCAGGTCCCGACGCTTGAGTCTTCTCAGCCCAGGTGCCAGACAGGTGCGTGGCAAAGCCTGTGAGGTGACCCAGCTCACCTGCCACGTGAATCAATCTGCAGCTGAGTCCTCGAGCGAGAACTGCCTCGCTGAGTCCAGTCAACTTCCGGATTTGGGACCATTTGGGGTGGTTTGTAAAGCAGCAATAGACAGACAGACGCCCATCACTTTGCCACGTCTCCCAAACCAAATCCAAGCCCACGAATTTTAGCAAGTCATAGGTACCACTAAAGTTTTCTTGCATATAGAGGATAGGTTATTATACAAACTAAAATGCAAAACTGCTTTTAAAAATCTCCATCTGCTGTAAAGAAAACCCCCAAAGTTCCACTTTTACTGCCCGGAGAGCCCACCCCCACGTGTCCACCCCACTGTGCCTCCACGGGGCCAGCTCCTCCGTGTCTCCTGGATTTGTCCTGCCCCTCCAGCCCCTTCTTCACTTCAATCACCCTGTGACCAAACAGAGTGACCATCCGTTCACTTCAAAAATCAATGGAGTCTTGTGAATAATGATATTTTCCTACCTGGCAGGTACAAATCTTATTCCACAAACCTGGGCAAAAAATTTACATCGCTTTATTACTTCTATGT